TACTCTCTTTGCCGATACTCTGATGATGTTTATTCTCACCTTGGTTTTGGTGATGGTGATGGTGATGACAGTCCTTCCCTGGCTCAGCGTAGGGTTTTTGCTGATGCTGGGACTCCTATCTGTTTGCTGCAACCCCCTGATCCGTATGAGTTTTATGATGACCCTAAGAAGGGCGGACATACTGGTTTCGAACAATGGCCTGCAGAAGACCAAGAGATCTATGATGAGTTCGAGAACGATGACATAGGTGGTAATTTGGATGACTATGCGATCCCATTACTGCCCGGTCCTGAGGAACCGGATACCGTATTACCCAAGTTACCAGTGTCTGACCGTCCCGAACTTTGCCCTATTCAAGATCTCTGTAACGAGTTCTCTGAGTTGTTCAACAACAAGATCGGGTTTTGTCCGTTGGTCACTCATGATATAAAGACCTTCGATGAGCAGCCGATGGCTCAGCGTCCGAGACGTGTACCTCATAAATGGCAAGCTGACATACGAGGCCAGATTGATGATATGCTGAGAGAAGGGATTATTCGGCCAAGTATGAGTCCGTGGCGTTCACCTTGTGTCTACGTTAAGAAGAAGACTGGTGGTGTCCGTATCTGCGTGGACTATCGTGAACTGAACCGTCGGTCCCACATGTCCGCTTATCCCCTTCCTCGCCCTGACTTCGTACAGGATGACTTGAAAGGTGCCCGTTTCTTTACATCTCTGGACCTGAAGTCTGGTTACTGGCAAGTACCCGTCTCTGCTGCTGACATCCCGAAGACCGCTTTCTGTCCGGGGAATGGCTTTCCCCTCTATGAGTTTCTGCGTATGCCGTTTGGTCTACATGATGCGCCAGCTACTTTCCAGAAACTCATGGAGGACATCCTAGGCGACCTACCATTCGTCAAGATCTATCTTGATGATATTTTGATTTTCTCACCGGACATGGAGACTCATGTTCGGCACCTTCGTGTGGTCTTCGAGAGGTTGTCCGCTGCGAAGGTAACTTTGGGTGCTACTAAATGTGACTTTGCTATGGAGG